ATCCGAGCGGGGGTGGGTGGGGGAGGGGCAATGTCAACGAGAAAAAAAAAGTGAACGTTGTCAAGCGTCGCGCTCAAAATCTCTCGAAAGTGTTCTAGGGGGCGAATCCCCCAAAAAATATGACAATTTAGGGCTTCCAAAGCTTATTTAATCGATTTTCAGTCTAGAAAATACATAATTTTTTTCTCCCAGACGAATTGTGGTCTTTCTCCCAGACCCCCACTCCCCACTGGCGCCATTCCTGATAATTAGGCTACTGCTAATATAATTTTGTTGCTGGTCAATACATGCAGCATTGAAACGTGGGGAAGGTGGCTGATGGGCTGTGGGGAGAAGCTGAAGTTCCCCCGAATTGTGGTTTTTCTCCCCGACCCCCACTCCTCACTGGCGCCATCCCTGATAATTAGGCTACTGCTAATATAATTTTGTTGCTGGTCAATCCATGCTGCATTGAAACGTGGGGAAGGTGGCTGATGGGGTGTGGGGAGAAGCTGAAGTGCCCCAATCGACGATTAAGTGAGCAAGCTCCCAAAATAAGGTGGTATATGGTGATTTTTAACTACTTAAGCATGATTTTTTTTTACTTCGAACATTTCAATGGGGGGGGGGGCATACGCCCACTAACCCCACTTATATGATTTATATTTTTCACTTTTTCTTATGAGATTACAATGTTTATCAAATATTGTGTAAAGGAAGTGAATGTCTTATTCTTGTGTTCAAACACATGTCTTTTGATATATTTGGGTATCTTTTTGATTGGTTTGTAGGCAATTCAGCTTATGCCCTTATGAGGACGTTCGTTATTCGAGTAAATGACAGGTTATATATTGTATAAAACAGGGTTAATAAAGTTTAAGGTTGGCGCTGGCTTCTAAATCTCGGTCAACTGTCATTTCATGGAAGTATAACATTTTATAGTACTGTAGAACTATTTAACAGTCATTTAATAAAAATTAATGGTCAAATGTTTTAAAGACGATTCCCACCGATGGAGTAGCTTTGCTTTCTGTACATGTCACATGAGCCAATAAAATTTAATATTTCTAATTTCACTTTTTACTGATTTATTCTCCATATATCTTGTACAATTATACACATCATTCATATTTTTGAACTGGAATATTGATAAGTAGTGGAATATACTAAATAATCAATAACAGATAAATACATTATTTATCTAGACATGCATTATATATTATCATATATTATTGAGACTAAATAATAATTTTAAGCACACCTTAAATTTCTTTCATAATTGGCACTCACCACAAATCAAAGGTTGTTTGGTTGATAAAGTTTGTACCATTTTAATCGATATTTAAATCGATATTATATTTAATATATGATCGATATATAAATCATCAATACTAATTGATATGATAATTAATATGTTAAAAAATCTGTTGCCCTTTGGTGGCACAAAGATAATATCGGATCAAACAATTCACCGATGATAAAACATGGTGAAAACTAAGTCTTGAGAATCTGGAAGACTAGGGTTAAATTGTTGGAAGACTGGTCCATCTACTATAGCAGTTGCTTCTACTTTACTTCCAGTCTTGATAGAAGAATTTCATTTTTTCGACATTCCTTGTAGAAAAAAAAAAACAAAAACCAAAAACATTGTTTACAAAAAAATCATTGCTTTTATGATATGAAATTCTTACGGATTATACACAATAATTACATTAGTGAGAATATGAAAACCACTTGTTCAGTTTTGAAACAACATTACTTGTGTACAAGACAAGACAAAAAAATAATAATGGTTGACAGCATGTAAGGGGTGACTAAGTATTTGAAATCCTCGAATCTCAGCACCACATACACCAAAAAATCACAATAATCTAGTTTAGTTTTGACTGGAATGGCCTCCTCTTTATTGATTTTCCCAAAGGAAGTCCCTGGTTTTCCTTACAAATAAATATTTAAAACAGTGAGAGATTATAGGCAAACATACATACATAGAAGAGCCCAACAACTTTGTGTCATGGGTATTTTGTATGGCACAGTGAACATATTTGTTGTATTTTCAAATACAACAAAACATAACAAAAAACTATACTTTAAAATGTTTTATAAACATTTCTGTATTATTTTTGAAACAAATTGGGATTAATGTCTAAATCTGTAGAATTCAGTTTATTATCTTACAATGAAATGAGAATATTAATAAATAGGTAGTTTTTCGCCACACAGCGTTGACCTTAACTTTAAACGTTAGTACCCAACTTGCAACGCGATAGCTCCGCCCCTTTTGTAAACAAATTGAAATACGCATGCGCAAACCCGTAACGTATGTTGAGTATGTAAAATCCTGAAATTAACATACTCCGCAAACGCAAGATGAATAAATTATGACATCATCCGTTAACGTTAAGCTTTGATAACCATACCTCCTTGAAATCTTTGATGGTCTTGAAGTAGAGTCGTTGTTTCTCTATCATATCTAAGTAGTTCTTATTCAGCCGATCTCGAGATGCTTTCTCTTCTTGTCGTCGTTTGTCAACTTTTGCTTGATTGTTCTTCACGCCCTCAACTATTCCTTCAAACTGTTTTAGGAATTGGTCCTTTCCAGCATTTGAAGACATTGCACTATTGAATCAATCAATCAATGGAATTTACATTGCACAAGACATCCAAAGAAAAGCTGGTAACTAGTAGCAATTGCTGGCTGTCAGGATTAATCTGCAGGCATTATCATGTTAAAAACGAGTGGGGTGGAGGGTTCCTATGTTCATCTGATCTCAATTATATCTATTAAAGTTATTGAACATTAGTTACACTATTCGGCAAACAATATATGTGGCAAAGACAAGCCAAACCACTCACTCGTCTCAAATCCTGTTTCAGAGATAGGGGCAAAAACATGCTGGAAACTCAAAATTGTTGAAATATTTTTTATGACACTAAACTAAACCTTTATATATCTATGTATCATGTATGCTGTTATTTTCCCCATTTTCAATGTTAAAAAAACAATTTTTAACGATTTGGTTTCTGCCTGAAAAATGCCCAAAATCATAAACTTTGAAGGCTGATTTCTCAAATGTTTTTCTGCTGCTGTGAGTTTAACTTTTCTTACTTCAACAAAATGTCGGATTTAAATGATTCATTTATCATTTTATAGCTCTCACTCGTTTTACTGTTGAGCACTGTATTAATAACTAAAATACGATTTTCGCAACAAGTGACTGGTTTGGCTTGTCTTTGCCACATATGTGAACATTAACAATTGTTAAAAAATAATGCATACAATATGTTAAGCTTTATGAATGTTTGTTCCTGTAACTTGAAATTTGACACAGTCATGGTCAATTGAGGATACGAAAGGACTTTTTGCAAAAGACTTGTAGTCAGGCTAATGGCATAGTCATAAAAACTTACACTTTAAAGTTATCGTGTATAGAGTTCAGAAGCTCAACCTCCTTCTCCAGATACAACTTAGTGTCATCCAAAGTGTTGTATAAAGTGTAAAACTGCTTTGTTTCCTTATGAGTTGAAGACACTGAAAGAATCAATGCTTGTAAACTACGTGTGCAAATATGTAATTATAAACTTGAAAAATGGTTTTATAAACAGGTAAATTTCACAAAAATATATCAAATTGAAACAGAAAGAATATTAATAACAGCTTTTGAAACTGCAATAAATAACATTAGAAAAGAATATTAATAACAGCTTTTGAAACCACGATAAATAACATTAGAAAAGGATATTAATAACAGATTTGATTCTGGTGGAAACTTACTTTGTTTGTAGAGTTCAATGAACCTCCTCTGGTACTGAGTTAGTTCAGCTCTAGAGGGCACTTCATCAATCTTTCGTTGTAGATTAGCAATTTCCCGGTTCTTGCGGGCCTGTGAATAGCAAATTCCTTACTTATATGTTAATATGTTACCATCCTGTCTGTTGCGAAATTTGGTAAAACCAAAATTAAATAAGTTCTTTCAATGAGACATACCATTCAGTATTTTACTTATTTACAAAAACTTCGAAAATCGTTAAATTATATGTTTTTCTAAGAATTTTAGGCCAGCAGTTATATTTTACCAGCCAAAATGCATTCGATGAGTCATTAAATCCACAGCTTTACATAGAAAAGATACTAGAAACACAAGATAGAGTTCTCCACAAAAAAAAAAACTGTATTACCAAAATGCATGGTGGGAATACAACAATGGGGCGCCGCGTACGGCTGGATCTAAAAAACTTCTGCCAAACTTAGTTCACAGTGAATACATAAATAACTTGCTGCTTAAAGTTTCCATCATAAGCAGACAGAGAAGGGCGCCATGTACAACTGGATCTACTTGAAACAGAAAGTCGCTGTGTACATCTGGATCTGGTCTGGATAAACTCGCGTAAATTGCCATTATTGGAAACAGAAGGCCGCCAAAAGATGTTATGCACAGTATATCTGCTTCATTTTTGCTATGCGAGAGTTCTATCTTGTGTTTCTAGTATCTTTGATAATAGTTGAAAAAAAAAACTTGACAAGCTGACCCAGGTTCTAAAATGTCTCAGTGCTTAGGCCACAACAGTTTGTTTAATTTTTAAAAATTTTAATAAATACATATATATACAGAAATAGAGCTCAATCTAATCAATATATTTTGTCAATTTACTATACTTGGTAGGTAGAGCATCTGCACTTTAAATAATTTTGCACTATTTGTTAAGGACTCCACTGACATTTATGGGATAAGTGCAATTTTTTTTAATACCAAATAAAGCAATCAATCAATAGAAGTGAACTCAACATTTACCATTGAAACATCTTTATTTGATTCAATAATAATTTTGTTTTTTTGTTGTTGGCCTTTGGCATTATTTTAGGTTATTTTTAGCAACATGAACCTGTACCTTACTTAGATTGACCCATGAGACACTATATTTGTGGCCAAATTCTAATTTCCCTCCCTGTTTCCTTTCAGTGACATGTAATTGATGTCAATTTTTTTCCTATAAATGCATGATATTTAGATTATATGTGCCTCAGCAAGTGTCCAATTGAATAGATAAATATAACAGATGAGAAAAAGGGGAAAGACAAACCTACAGCATGTATGTTTGACTTCAGTTGGCAAGTATTGGTGGAAAGTGGATCAAAGAGTGACAGTCTACAGATGTCATGAATAAAGTAGACATTTAGTAAAGGAATCATTAAAGGGGAACTTTGGGTGTGAAATTTCTCCCCATATATCATTTATTTATTATATTATGATTAGTAAATGAAATAAATTGGGTTAAAATAGTTTTAGGAAGAATAGTAGGAATGAAATTTAACATCGCAGTTGTGTTGAGGAAAAACATGTTTTTCAGCATCTTGAAAATTTTACAAGAGAACTCATTAATATTCATGATTCCATCCTGCCTGTCCTGGCTTCACGATATATTTTAATGTGTGCTGAGCAAACGAGCCAGAAGCAACAGTCAAATTCTTATGTTAAAATCAGTGACGGATTCAGGCTGGGGGTGCTAGCCAGCCCGCACCCCAACCCCCCTGGTTTAGACCCTCTATCTGCTAAAGTCCCTCCCTGGTCCCTAGATCTGCAACTGAAAATACCCCTGTAGATGGTGGTTATCTCTCGAGATCTATAATATCTACTGCTGTGCAAACTGAACTAAGGGGTAGCCTAGACGCAGGGATACCGGAACGCCACCCTCAGCGGCGAGTGCGAAGCACAACTCGGGGTCAAAAGTGGAACGTGAAATTTTGATATGGTTTCGTAGTCATATTTGCGAGAAAAACTTCAGCTACCCGTATTTCTCGACCGAGACGTCAGTGGGAGCTGTAATTTGAATGGCAAGGTAATTGTGCAATCCTTAATTGGTATTAAGGGAATTTACGCCCAGAAACCTTGTAGTTATTAATATTTTGGTTATAATAGAATATATTCATTTTTTGGTGACGTCACACTCACAATATAGTTAGTATGCATACATCATAAGCTAGATTACGACACCTTTTCCTGGTTAGATAAACTTTCCCGGCATGCTTTTTTCATGGATAAACAAACACCACTGCTTTGCACATGGATGCCTTGCCCTAGCTAGGGCTACAAGAGCCGCATTGTTAGCATTGTATAATACGTAAACAAGGTACCTCTGCAACTGAATTATTCTTAGTTATTTGTTTTTTTTTTTCTTATTTTAATTTATTTCTTTCGAAAGTGTACTTTATATCATATATTATTGCACTGTCTAGTTAGGCCTGGGCCTAGTCTCATTATGCCGCATCGTCCCCCGCTACACAGTACATCAGTAGCCCCAATCCCTCTCCCATACAGTACAGATGTTTGCTACCTAGGCAACAGAACCTTAATTTGTAAGTTGGAATTCCATTTTGCTCAAACATATATACTGTAGGCTTATGCATTTACTGCCTTTCTCTCTTGCCTTTTTTACATTTATATGTACTGATTCAGAAACAACATCCTATGTTCCTATTTAGAAACGAAAACAGCCAAGTTATTTCCCCGCGATGTGTTTTCCCAGTTGGCAGTTGAGAATTTCAGATTGCCCAGAACGATTGAACCATGTGACTGACTCCCCAGATTGCTGAATAATTACTCGAACACAAAGTGGGTTCTACTCTAATTTAATATAAAAATGAGGTATTTAAAAAAAATAATGAAACCCTTATAAATGAAAATATCAGATAAATTAACTTAAGAATTGATAAAATGAATGTGTTTCTTCAGCGGTTATCAAATGTGAGCCTTTGAAAGTTAGTCAATTTTAGGAATTTTCCTATGTTAATACAATGTGTAATTTGAGTAATGCCAACACTGCAGTGCTCGTTCTGCACTACTGCACTTTAAAAGCCTGTGAAAATCTTATCTTCAAGGTGCAAACTGACTGTTCTATATATATTTTAAAAGAAATTTTAAACCTAGAGCCCCCTTTAAGAAAGGTCTTGTAAGTGAAAAACAAATTGGGTAATGGGAACCTCAGGAAGGGAATGAAATACTAGGTTATTATGCTGATGTCTGGGGGTCAGTGTGATAAGATGGGATGTTAAGATGCAGCTGAAGCTTCTTCACATCCAAATAATGAAGTCTGTATGACTACAGACTATTGCAATTATTTCGTAAAGATGGTATGAGATACTCTTGCGGTCATAACAAAAACGTTTGTTCGTTATTCGTTGGTGCTTTGTTTTTCCATTCATTCATTCATTCATTCAGTTAAATAATTTCATAAATTATCTATTTGGGAATCGACTGCACTACACAAAATTTAGCAAAGTATCTTACAAGGAGAAGCCTGATCTTCTGAAGTTTTTCTTTATCCGCCTGGAATTGTTTTTCAATCAGTCTAACCCTTTCTCCTTCTTCTGATTCGTCTCCCTCAACTCCACCTTTCAGGTCTTCTATATTTTTCTTCAACCTTGCCATTTCCTCCTGAAAAAATAAACCAGTCAACTTTTAATACAAAGTCAGGATAATAATTCCTGGAGAATATTCTGGAGAAGAAAAGCAGGCTTTGCTGGAGCCGATAATAAATAAAGTTAATCGTTTCAGCAGATGGTTTATCAAGTCCAATAGTATAAAAGTAGAATCGGTTACATACAATTATTATAAAAGAGGCAATTCACCAAAAGCCATGATATATTTGATATATATTTGTTAGACAGTATTTCATGAGTACCTAAAATTGATTTATGGTTGGCCACCTGCCAAATATTTCTCTGCAATTATCTGCAGAATTATCTGGAATGATTTTGCTGGCAAATGTGTAGTACTCACATGTGCATAGAAGCAGTTTAATAGAACGGCTGTGGCTCAAACATTCAACATGCCGTGCCTGGTGGTATTACACAAAGCAAACCCAGCTAGTAATTATATTAATGTGCCTGTTACTAACGTATCCCAGTACCTGACAGATGCAGATTTTGATCATGTCAGGCAACCTTACAAATTATCTTTGTGACCCCAGATTTGAAACAATGTCTTTACAATCTGGAAAATAATAATAATAATATCTTATATAGCGCTTCATGCATAAAGCTTCTAAACACTCCACATTACTACCCCGGTCATTGGATCAAACAAGTAATAGGCAATAGGCAGCTTTCGATTTGCAAGATGATGCGATGCTAGAACAGATTCACTCATGCGTGAACAACGTAAATTTGGCCAAATTGCATGCTAGAATCCATGAAGAGAACTCAACGTTCTCACATGCGCCGATGACTTCTTAGTGCAATAAGCTCCCTAGTATTATCGAAAAGTATCTGAAATTATTGACACCTTACCTTGCAATGAGCTCTAAACTGTTGCTCCTGTTGTTTGAGACTCTCATTCATTGCAACTAAGGAACGCAACTTTTGCAGAACGCTGCAGAATGAAAAGACAAAGTTTTGTATGTCTGAATTTCATTTTAAATGACAAACAAATTATTCCGATGGCATTTTTGTGACAGGAGATAATATGAGTGATGCTCAGTATGTTCCCAAATGCATCTCATAAACAAATCAATATAAACAAGGAAACATAATAAATGATGAGTAAGTCACCTTTTTATTAAGAAGAGCTATAGCGCTTTGAGACTTAATTGTAATTCGTGCCATATAAAAACTGATTATTATCTCTGCCAGGAGATACGTTTGCAGTCGTGTACGTTTGTGTGTGTGTGTAAGGCGTTTTGGTATTTTTGTGTGTGTGTGTGGGTGTGTATATGTTGTGCTCAAAATATCTCAAAAACGGCTGCACAGATCTAAGTGAAAGTTACATGTGGTGTTCAGTATAACCCAAGGATGAGGTGATTAATTTTTGGTGATGACCCAGAGTAGGGTGTGAATATGAGGACCATTTAAATGAAAACATCCTAGACAAGATATTTCAAAAACTGATCAACTGATCTGAATGAAAGTTTTGCGAAAGTTTAACAATGTTAATGCAAGGAAGAAATTATTAAATGTTGTGACTTTATATTTAAACATGTAACGCTAAGAATTAATATTCCATATTTATTATTAATTTGACTATTTGCATAATATTTCTATTGCAACACCAATACTTGGCATGTATTTTTTGTCAACTATAAAAGAAAAATGTTCCAGTGTGTTTAACGAGAAGTAAGGAATTGGCAGGTATACAACTAATACAATAAAAGTTGTTTCCGGGAAGCCAGGTTACTGTATTTTTTTTGAGTAGGTGGTGGTTGGAAAGTAAGTGGGTTGTCACATTTTTTACAGTGTCAGTAGTTGAAAATAAAATATTTCAATACTATATGTTGCTTGGATTCTGTGTTCAAAACGTAACTCGTGTAGAGAAAATTTTTGGTGAAATCATTTAGGATTACAAAATCTGTAAATGCCCACTCTAAAAGAGTCCACAAAAACCCAGTATAAAAGTGGAAATAGTGCCCCTCTTTGAAATAAAAGGTGTTTGGGCGAGTTGCTGTGCGTTTTTGAAGAGCAGCGGAGCGAAATGAGTTGGGGTGGTAGTGGTTGAATAAATTAGGAACATATTTTGGGAGATGTATTTTTTAGAAAGGGATTTGCAGTGTGTGGAGATATGCTCTCTACCGAGTGCTCTTGTTATTATTATTATTTAGAGTAAAAAAAAAGTTGTTTAATTAATAAAAAATTTCTTTAAATTATTGTAAATTGGAATATTACTTATAGCAATTTAAGATCTGGCTCACTGCATTTTAATGATTACTGCACATTTTACAAAATGTTACTGTTTGATTTTGTTTTCTTTTTTTTGTTTTGTATGCACACATGAGCCATTTAGGTTAGGCCACTGAGTTAGCTCATTACTTTAGTTAGCTAGCTACGTAGTTACCTAGTTAATTATCTAGTTACTTTAGTTAGTTTGGTAAGGTAGTAAACTGGTTAGTATGTTCTCAGTAGAATATAAAATAGAGCTCACTTTTTATTTTCTTCAGTCTCCACTTGTTCCAGTTTATTCATTTCATTATCGAGTTTGTCTGTGAACTCTTTAACTTCCTGTAAGCGAGTCTGAGTAGCGTCATACGACTGTTGCATCTCTGAATGTTTTGCAATCGTCTGTTAAAATGTGTAACATATGTCTTAAATATTTAAAAGAGCATTGTATAATGGAAGATGTCAACAGTAATTTACAAACCACACTGTTGAGTATGTAAACAATTCGAATATCAGACTGGCTGTCATCTGTCTCTTATACACATCTATCAATATAAAACTCACTTTATCAATCAAAATTCACTTTATCAATTAATCAGTCAAACCATCAATCACTGGTTCAATTATGTATTCACTCACCCAACCAATCACACTCAGTCAAACGATATCATACTTAAATCAGTCAGCCAATCAATCAGTCAACCAATCAAATTCACTTCATCAACCATCAATAACTTTCAATCACTGGTTCAACTATGTATTCACTCACCCAGTCACACTCAGTGATAGGACATCATACTTAAACCAGTCAACCAATCAATCAATCAATCCAACCAACCAAATTCACTTCATCAACCATCAATCATTTTCAATCACTTATTCAATTATGTATTTACTAACCCAGTCACACTCAGTGATAGGACATCATACTTAAACCAGTCAACCAATCAATCAATCAATCAATCAATCAATCAATCCAACCAACCAATCAAATTCACTTCATCAACCATCAATTATTTTATCACTGGTTCAATTATGTATTCACTCACCCAGTCACACTCAGTGATAGGATATCATACTTAAATCAGTCAACCAATCAATCAACCAATCAAATTCACTTCATCGATAAATTAGTCAATCAATCACAAATCACAATCTCAATTTTACATCACCAAACATCTTTCAGTGATTCCGGGTGGTGCCAGGGTCCACACTACCTCACATACACTTCTATAGTTAGCAAAAATACATGATATGTAAGAAATATGTGCAGAAATACATCGATTGAGAGAAATGCTTAACAAATGAAATTGAAAATGAATTAAAAATATTGATTACTATTAATTATAATATTTATTCGAGACCACTGTACTTCCAGACAAACCTTTCAAAGAACCAAATAACAATCATTAATATTTGAACACAAAGGTAACCCTCTAAGTGGAGACCGAACAATGAGACCACCCTAAATTTTCAGGCTCCTAAGTGGTCTAGAACTGGAGGGTGAACAGTTCGCCTTCCAATTTGAGAACACCTTTGGGACCTGACAATTTGGGGTGTGCCGGGGTTTAGTCACCAATAAGAGTATTAGCTTTGTGTAAAACAAGAATAAAGATTGTTCTTTGAAAAAGTGGTCTTGAATTAAAGAGGACTCAATTTGGAGGATGCACTGCATTTATATATACTAGTACCTCATCTCCTTCCATTGATGACATTTCACTCATTAATGCTTTAATGCGTTTTTCATCAGCGGCTCTCTCTTCTTCACTGTCCATTGTATCAGAACGTTGCTTTGTTAATCCAGCTGCAAGCGCTTTTTGCTTTATTGCTTCTTTCTCTTTTTCACTTTCAGACTTCACACTGCGTCCTACACCATAACGTCTTTAATAAACACAATATAAAAAAAAACTTGTATCCATGCAAATAAGTGACACATAAACTAGAAATGCTCCTTTTACGCTGCGTGGTAAAAGTATACTGTAAATGCTCGAATAAGCGCCGCGGGGCTTATAAAAATTTTTGAGGCTTCAGTGCTGCGCTTATTTAAGAGCAGCGCTTATTACAACAATATTGGCGTGGCACTTTCCATTGTTCCTATGTTACCAATATCACGTATTCTCATAGCTTGGTAGGCTAATCATAGACCCTATATCATCGTAAATAAATGTTTATAAAGATATGCTTGTGTCTTCATTGTGTTATGTATTCATTTGAACGCTGTATACATTGTATTTATTACCCTATTTCTGAAAGAGTTTGCATTGCACACAGGCGCTTATTCACTCAAAATTAAACGCTGTGGCACTTATTCTAGATCAATGCTCAGCAAAAAAAAATCACATTTGGTGCAGCGCTAATTCGAGAGCGGCACTTCATCAAGAGCAGAACTTATTCAAGCATTTACGGTAGCCTCCCCACAGTTTGACTTTTCTCAGAAAATTGATAAATAGGAGATACAAAACTTTAGTTAGCCTAAGTGAAATATGCAAATGAACAATTACCATATAACACACATACCAAAAAACCATAGGTTGTCTTCTTATTACCATCTTTCATTCTTCCAAGTTTGAAAACAATCGGACTTACCAAACTTTAGTTATGGGAACTAGCCTAAATTACTTGGTTAGTAAAATATTAATTATGCAAATGAGCAATTAGCATATTCAGACGTACCAAATACCATACGCTCCGCCTTCTTATTACCATCATGCATTCTGACAAGTTTGAAACCAATCACACTTACCAAACTTAAGTTATCATGGCCACTAGTCTAATTACCCGAATAGTGAAATATTCCCAGGCTCCTATACAATTGTTGATTATTCATTGTTTATTCACAATAACAAGTGATATACTTAATATAAGACGCACCTCATTTTTAATTACCTCGTTTTTAATTGGCTAGTTATAACTTTGATTTTAATCTGATTAGTCGGATTATTTGCTTTCTGTTATCATGAGCGTCGATCAGGGGGACAGGGGGACGCGTCCCCCCATTTTTCAAAGTGGGGGGACATCATATCGATTTTCCCCCCCTCCCACTTTTCACTAATCTTCTATAATGAAAACCCCACTTTTAAAAGTGAATGGAAAGAATAACAATTACGCATGACTAATGAATTTTGTCTGTTCACTTTTCTAAGTGCGGTACGTATTTTCCGGACCAAAACCAAGTAAAAACGCAATTGTTTAAACATTAAACCAGCTCAGAAACCCACTAGATCGATTTTATGGGTGCAACGACTATCAGAGGCTAAATTTATTGTGAAAACAATGTACTGAACGTTGTTAAAATTGGAAGCATGCATCCTTATTAGGCCAATATTTTTACAAATTCAAAAGTGCACAATTTCTACTACAAACGATTTATTCATTTTGTATATTATTATGACCCATATGTATATACTAGTGTTTAATATTATCTACATGCATAGGATTACTGTTTTTTTCTAATTTCAGCCTTTAACACGGATATGATGTTTACCTATTTCGATTAAGTGATAAGCCTACCAAAAGTTTACAAACTCCAGTGTTACGTTGACAATAATCGTTGATAATAATCAGTAGCAGATTCAAGTGGGACCGAGCCGACCCTAATTTTTTCAAAATTATTTTTAAAAAATGAAAAAAAAAAAACAAAGGAAAATTATAATTAGAATTTAGGTCTGAGAGTGCCATTTCCAGCAATCTAGGTGTCATAATCATAAATTTTCTTTCCTCAGCCCCAACCATGGTGGGGCTGAGGTGATCTACTTTCCCAAAGTGCAAGTCCCTCCCTGTCCCCCTCTAACTTGCTTTCCTGGAGCCGCCACTGATAATGATAAATTAAGTAAATCAACTTTATGTTTGTGAAATCAAAATGCTAACTAATGTTTTGTGTGCTCCCTATCTCCCTAGTCCTGTTTGATCGTAAATTAGACGATATTATTTCCACTCACAATAATTTATCGCAATATTACTTACACAAAAGTGAAATTCAAAAATCTTGATTGATTTTAAAAGTACTGTACAAGACTAAATTAATGACTGTTTTAAGTTTATCTTATTTGTTTTTCATTTTTGAATATGTTATAAGCTAATCAGTAGATAATAAATCATTATTTTTATGAATGTTAGTTTGCACGAAATATATAAGCGGGCATAATTATGACTAAAAAGGATAATTTTAAAAACTTTTAATGATGAGTATTTTAGTGGCAGATTCAAGGGGCCCAGTCGGCCCACCATCACTATTTTTTTTTTTGAAATTTAAAAGCGGAGAAAAACCAAAATTATATTCAAATTCAGTCTGAGAGTGCCATTTCCGACCAACTGGAGGTGCCATAATCATAAATTTTCTTACTTAAGCCCTAACCATGGTGGGGCTGAGGTGGTCTACACTCTCCATCTGTAAAAGTCCCTCTCTGGGCCCAGCTATATTTCAAATTACTGGATCCGCCACTGGATATTTTGAAAATTTCGTATGGAAATAAATGTTAATTGCATTGCTTAAAATCAATTAAAAGGCTATATGTGCCAGAGCTTCTGAAGCTTTGCCCCCTGGTCCCCAACCATTGCTTGGGCCTACGGCCCAAGGCTTTATATTTCATCTCGTCCCCCAACTTTCAGCCACGGATCGACGCCCTTGTCTGTTATAATTCTGTAAATATTGCAAACATATATGGATGGATGAGATTTTCTCATCAGTATTCTTGAAAATGATCAAATAAATCGAATCTTTGAATCTCAAAATGTCTGTCTCTTTTCGGAGTTACTGTCTTTTTGTTTTATTTAAGACTAATTAGTGGATCCTCTGGTTTCAGTGAAATATTAATTATGCCAATAAGCATTAAACATATTCACACACATACCAAAAGCATCTTATTACCATTTTGCATTCTGCCAAGTTTGAAACCAAATGGACTTATGAACAACGACGACGACAACTTAAACACATGAAGAACATAGGTAAGAACAATATCAAAATCTTGCATAGGCCTCGCAGGAAGAATAAGATTAAGAAAGCTAAAATGTTTAAATATTTGGTTACCGTCCATATTCCAGCAGTGTAGATTGAACCCTCAGCTCTTCATCATTTAGTCGCTTGAGATTGGAGCGGCGATATCGACGCTGTGGTTTGTACACATCCCCCATTGACAACACGGTCACCATTGCTTTCTCCTTACTATCAGCAAATTCAACATCCTTCAAAAATGTTTTAAAACTCAGTCTGTTAATTGATAGGTATCACCCTCAAAAAATTTTAATTTATATGTAATTATTTTAATTGAATTGGAATACATTTTATAAAAATTTTATGATTAGGTAAGTACAGTAATGCTGCAATTTACAATTATGTGCTTTTTGTAATTTATTATTGCTGTAAAATGTTGTAATTTGATGTCAAGTGCTATACAATAGTGTGTTGTGTGTGAGTTTCCATCTTGTGTATTTGCATATACATTGGATATTGCTTGATATGGATTATATACAACAATGATAATAAATACCTCTGGTGTTTTGTGAATCTTGTTGAATTGAGAAACTGAAAAAGATCTGATTTGGTCTCCCATCTCTTCCCTAGTTTCAATAGCACGTTTCACTAACCACTAAAAAATAAAAATCACCAATAGCCTTGAAAAAAATATTTATTTACTAATCATTTCAATATTTACACCTTGAGAAAACATGTCATAATTGGAAATCAATCGCTTAAATTATCAATTGGAAAACATGTGGATAAATATTTAGATTCACACCTGAATAATTGATAAATGTTGAATAAATCTCAGACTTACTTGAACAACTGGGAAAATGTGGATGAAATCCAAGCCTTGTATTTGATGGGGCTCTAATCGATGTGGACACTTCATCCTTGGTAGAACTGCTACAATCTTTTCGGTCAAAGCACTAAAAATTGGCAAATAAAAATGGTATTTTGGGTTTTTTTTTAATGATTTACAATGTCTTGACAGAAAATTTATAAATTACAGTTTGGTTTATGAATTACAGTTGTTTCTCATTTATCTGCTGGGAATAATTTATCTTCTAAACACCAGGAATCCCAAAGACTCCTGGAAGTTATGGGATTCAAGATTTCATTTATTGTCCAAAAATGGAAATACTATGTGGCAAACATTTCATTGCAAGGTTACAAAAATATTAAAGACATATAAAAATACATATAATAATAACATACTGTATTATTAGAACCCGTAAATAGAAACAATATACAAGACAAGTAAGTTAGAATTAATTAATACAGTACAGTGAGTTGTATTACTGTACAAATATTGCTGAAATTATAAGCACCAGTTCACATTAAGGGATCTTAACTTTATATGTCGCGATAAATATAATTAAACATATACTTAATGAAAGTTACAAAAGTATTACACTATGAATATTGTGCACCCATATTATTATTTGTCTCATGGAGGTCAGTGTTGCTTGGTATCACCATAAGTAGCAAAACAAACTTTGAGTTTTAAAAGCTTGTTTAAACAGATCTTCCGAAAATTAATTCTTGGGACCCCAGAAACTAAGTGGCATATCTAGAAGTCTTGAAATGGGGGTACTGATAGGGGGCGTGAAGGTGAAGTGGGGCTTGATGATCAGTTAAGAGGGGCGCTAATTCGCAAAATGATTTTTAACTACTTGACCGTGATTTCCGGATGACTCGGAGGGGGAGACTTGAGTAATTTTTTTTATGCAACCCCGCGCACCTCCTAGATACGCCACTGCTGAAACTCTTTGTAATTTCTTGTCGAAGACTAAAATACATATATCTAACATTGGAATTATATAGCACTTACATTTTCTGACCAATCGTTGAGTTCTCTTGAAACAGTAAATCTACATCTATATCAAAATTACAAGTTGTTATACACCAAGTCATACCGCCAACTATCTGAAAAAAAAAAAAAAAAACAGAGTTAGTAATGAAAAACACATGCACATCATTAAAAACGAACAAAAAATTGACACACTAGGTATATTTTATAGATTATCATTTAACATACTATTTAAATTAATCTGTTTGCTACGTGTTTTAGACATACAAAGTAAAAAAGTAAAAGAGTAAGTTTACCTACCTTGTCAAATGGTGACAGGCCTTTTATCCTTGCCCTGAAATAGCCTGCTGCTAGCAACAGGTCAACTGTTTCCTGCAATTTCACATTTTGTTCTTCATCTTCTCTTGTTTCCACCTGAATAGAAGATTGGAAATGTTGGTTTGAATACCGTATTAAAAGTGGCCAAGATTTAAAATACAGTACTAATCCATCTACCTTAGGCCTCTGTGCTGCAGTGATAGTAAATAAATGCATAAAAAAATAAGGCATTGTAAAATAAAGGCAGCCAATGCAGAGGTCTGAAGTCGCCCATGTGTCGGGGGATTCTTCCGGAAGTCACCACTTTTCCGAACAAACAAACAATAGGCCTACAACACTTCCCTCAAATTCATTCAAAAACTATTTACTTGTACAATTTAGTTAGCTGGCCTCTGGCATTGGTATTGTCACCAAAACGGTAGTTTCCCGTCCAAAACGGGAGTGTTGGCATGGGATGCCAGTCAACTCGCCCCCTAGCAAACTGGCCCCTTGCAATCTCGCCCGCTTACAAACTGGCCCCTTACAAACTGGCCCCTTAACAAACTCGGCCCCTACAAACTCGCTCCTTACAAACTCTCCCCCTAACAAACTTTCCCCCTGACTGTACACAGTCACCCCCTAACAAACTCGCCCCCCAACAAACCCCCCCCCCAACAAACCCCCTAACAAACTCGCCCCCAACAAACTTTCCCCCTAGCAAACTTGTCCCACCGACTATACACAGTCGCCCCCTATCAAACTCTTCCCCTAACAAACTCGCCCACTAACAAACTCGCCCATAGCCTTTCTGTTATGTAGGAGGTACCTAGGTGGGTGAAATGTACCGTAAATTCTATACTTTCTGTTATACTTAGTAATAGTATTAATTTTATTGAATGAAGTGAAAACACTCATCGGAAGAGAACCTTCCGATACCGAGCATCAATGCTCTGGAATGACCTTCCAGTTGATGTTGGTAAACATTTCCAAAATATTAATTATGTTGATTTTTAAACCTTTTAATTTCATTGGTGCATTGTATTTTTATTGTTTTTACCTCTTTTTTTCTTTAATCTCTTATTTTGTTTTTTTACTTAATCTGGACCTCTTGAGATACCAGTACAGCAATTGTATTGAAATGAGCTTTCCAGAATAAAGAAAGATTTGTATTGTATTTTATTTTATTATTAATTATTAATTTTTTACGATGCTTGACATAATACATTTTTGTATCTTTTCAGTTGATTATTATAAGTTTTTTACAATTTTTATTGTTTCAGAAATTTTTATTACAATAATATGAATATATTATTAGCATGTTTTTCAGTACAGTATGTAGTGTTCTTTTGAAAAATAATGTTCTTTTTCTTCTAGCAGTTCCCAGAAATGAAAAGTCAAGTTTACAGTACATTCATATATTTATCAACTTCTGAATAAGTTTATTCATAATAAAGGTCTATGCGTGTAGTTACGGTATTGATTTAATTGTTAAATTCATTGTAGGCCTACTTTGAAATATACTACTGTACACAATAATGCTACTGTTGCACACTGCACCTTTACTGACATCCCATGCATTTGCCTAAAAATAGCGTTTCTTTTCGATTCTCTTTATACAGTAGCTAGTTATGTATTTATATATTTCATTAAAACTATATTTTACTATATTTCTATTTACTGTATATGTGTATCGATACGATGCGATATACTCTTTATTGTCAAAATAATTCGTTAAATTTGAGATGTGTTTTGCATACAGGCCTACTAGGGTGAAAAAAGACATGTGAAAATAACCATCTAAATAATACAAATCGTTACAATATACTGTACTTATACAATTGTACAGCAAGTATAATAATTATGATGATTAGCAGATAGCAGATGATACGAAGTTGGTGAAAAAACGTGACACATTCACTGCCATCGCACGTGTTTGCACCTAAAAATAGATTGTGTTTTTAGCATCTGACCAGTAATGCGCCAACATTTCTGAAGTCGGCGTACAAAGAATGTATGCTCACCCTGAAGAGTACCATGGGAACCAAGTTGGTTGTGGGAGTTTCTTCATGATTTTTTAATTAGTTACCAGACAACTGGTACAGGCTTCCAAAGTAGTGATTTTTCCAGCTTTAAAATGAAGCCCGAAAACCGTGAAACGGCCATATACTTTAATTATATTAAAACTATATTTTATTGTATTTCCATTATTTGTGTATTTTATAAAACTCAGAATATGCAAACAAACAAGAAAATACAAACTTCGTGTCTGCTTCACCTAAAGAGAATACTGTAAGAATCTTGTGGGAATGTTTCTTTCCAGGAATTATACTTTAGTTAAATGCAACTACTATATAAATAGCCAGCAAGTGAGTGATTTTGTCGGGCTTAAGAATAACTATTATAAATATATTGATCATTTTATATGGAAAATATAAATATGAAAAATAAATAAGCCTAATAATACTATATATTTCCTTTATTTTCATTTATCATATATCATTCAGTATATTTTCATTTATTTATACAGTATGTAGGCCTACAGTATTATAAACATGATCAGAACAATACGATAAATGACAAACTATCTAGTGACTATACTTTTTCCATAAATCTCCATTTAATTTAAGCATTAATTGCATTAATTAACATGCAATCAAAATATATATTGCAACAAACGATAAAAACTACACCTTGTAAGTCCACAGGGAAAGTTTGTATTGCTTAGTGTGGTCACGAATGTGCTTTTAGCTGAAAACAATAGGATTGGCAGTCAAAATAACGTTATTTGGATAGGCAAATTATATTATTATTTAATTATTATTATTTTTTTGATTTGACGACAGAAAAAGGCTATGGGCGAGTTTGTTGGCTGTCAAGGGGTGAGTTTGCAAGGGGCGAGTTTCCTAGGGGGCGAGTTGACTGGTTCCCTTGGCATGTAGGGGCCTATGATGTACTGTAATATGTATGGACGGTTATGGTTACAGATTTCATTTAAAATCAGTTTGGATGCAAATAAATGCCTTTCATTTTGCTCTATGGTCTACAGGCTGGCTATATAGGCCTACATACCTTTAGGCTAGCCTGCAGTAGGCTGGTAGATAGGTTTAGGAAGTAGGCTAGGCCTAGTAGTAGTGTGTAGCCCCTACCTAGGCCTAGAGGCCTAGTAGACTAGGCTTATCATCAGCTAGGCTAGCCTACTACAGTAGCTAGGGGCATAGGCCTCTTCTGGACTCTTTCTCAAAATACAATTTAATCTACTGTTACACAAAAACACAATCAAGCTCTTACTTCCACTTCCTTTCCTTCTGCATCGTAAACAACACCAAATTTAGCACTTGCTTTTCTGTGAAAAATACTTCCTGAAGACATTGTGGATCGGAGGGTGGTGTCACGGAATTAGGCTGTTTGCTTGACAAACCATGCATCAACTTGTAGATATGACGCGTTGACACTTGAATATCGACGCGTTTTGTAATCATACACAGTCTAAGCCGTATTAAGAGTATATTATATGCGCAATTTTGCATTAATTTGTTTTTACAATTTCACTGTTTTTGGAGGTATTGTTGTTTTTTTCAAAAAGTGTGTATTTCCTATATGAATAAACTGTGGGTTAATTGTGAAAATTAATGAATAAACAGTATCTATTTTGCGACTTTATGTGCAAGTTGGGGTGAGAAAGTCTCAATCAAAGTTATGTTGTTGGTCATTGCACTTGGGTTGCATGATTTGACATGCTAAAACTATCGGAAAACAGACAAAAGTATAATACTGTATAAGTTACATTTTCATTTGAAAACGTCGCACTTAGCCAAAAACTAGGTTTTCTAATAATTTTAAATACCTTTCATTCATATTTTTCATAGTTTTTTTTAATTTTAATGTTGCACTTTTTAGATTGGTCTCATTTGCAATAATAGCACTCACCATTAAATACATGAATGTAATACTGACATGTCATAATCGACCCCATTGATATGCAGACAAATTTGGACAGTGATTATAATTATATTACATCGATATACTACATCGATTGGTTGAAAATTTCACATTGTGTTTCCTTTACTTAATAAAAGTGCTAATGAAGTTGCACATGGATTAAAGACCTTTGAGTTATAAATACCCAAATCAAATACAATTCTACATTACAGTATAACAAACATTAAGACACAATTTTCAATTTATTCATTTATTTATTCACGCAAGTAACATCCATTCACTTACAAAAATGTAGATTTGACTACTCACTTGGAATACAAAATTATTTTTTTAAAAATGACAGACATGAGGAGAAAAAAAACCCCTCGAGTTGGGAAGCCTGAAACATAGAAACAAAGTAATTAGGACATAAAAAGGAAATGGAAGGAGGGAAGACAGCAAAAATGCAGAGAAGAAAACAAAACAGAGCAAAACACACAAGAAAAGCAACAGGTCAAATTCAGAATAAGCAGCTGAGTGGCAAAGAAACACTGAGGGAGATGGTCTGAATAAATTTCACAAAGGTGTAAAACACTGATTAATAATAATGAAGTTTTCAAATATGAAGCTGATAACCTCTTGCAAATCAACATACATATTTAAACCAAATTAACAAAACACAATTCTTTCATTTGTTCACCAAACTACAAATCCAATCAATTCAACTGTGAACTAAAATTATTCAAAATATTAACAGTATATCCTCATATAAACAGACAAGAACTTTTTAAAACTAGTTTATTATACATTAATACATACTACACTACACACGCAAAACAAAGTATGGTACTGGAGTGCAAAAATTGATCTTGATAATAAATGCATAGAAGAGTGAATTGGTTTTCAAAAGCAACTATTCCTTAGTAAATTTGTACTGCATTTAATATAGTATTTCAACTTTTCATTACTGTTGGCTTCCATTTCTTTCAACAAGGTTTCCAATATTTGTAGAATCTTTGGTATTTATGTGTTTCAAAAGCAAATACAGTAGTTTGTCTCATTTTATTATTTCAACTTCACATCATCTCTCCCCTACATGTATCCTTTATATATTATATATATTTATATATATTAATATATTCTATTTTGTTCTTTTTTTCCACACATGCACTTTCAATTTCTTAATAATAGAATGAATAATCATGTTATTTACAATAAATCTCCTCAGTGTGTGTCTATAAATATTCAGTATTTTCAAAACAGAGTACCTCTTTCATCAACTTTTCAACAATGTTCATATTCATACTGTGCCTTAAATATGTATTTTCAAATGTCTATTAAAATTGTCAATAAGCCTAAATGTCTGTCTACACTTATTACATTCATATGGTCTCTCGTGTGTGTATTCTCAGATGAACCTTAAAGTTGTTTTTGGTTTTAAACTTCTTTCCACAGTGTTCACATTCGTAAGGTGTTTCTCCAGTGTGTATTCTCAAATGCCCTGTCAAATCGCAATTATGTTTAAATCTCTTCCCACATTGTTCACATTCATAGGGTCTTTCTCCAGTGTGTACCCTCAAATGCGTTTTCAAGCTACCACTTTGGGTAAACTTCTTTCCACAACATTCACATTCATATGGTGTTTCTCCAGTGTGTATCCTCAAATGCCCTTTCAAATCGCAATTATTTTTAAATCTCTTCCCACAGTGTTCGCATTCATATGGTCTTTCTCCAGTGTGTACCCTCAAATGTGTTTTCAAGCTACCACTTTGGGTAAACTTCTTTCCACAATGTTCACATTCATATGGTGTTTCTCCAGTGTGTATCCTCAAATGGTTTTTCAAATGATGAATTTGATTAAATGTTTTTCCACAATGTTCACATTTATATGGTTTTTCACCTGTGTGTATCTTCAAATGTGTTTTCAAGCTACCACTTTGGGTAAACTTCTTTCCACAATGTTCACATTCATATGTTGTTTCTCCAGTGTGTATCCTCAAATGGTTTTTCAAATGAGGAATTTGATTAAATGTTTTTCCACAATGTTCACATTTATATGGTCTTTCTGCTGTGTGTATCCTCAAATGTGTTTTCAAAACAGTACGGCTTTGAAATTTCTTACCGCACTGTCCACATATATATGGTGTCTCTTTTGTGTGTGCCTTCAAATGTACATTAAAATTGTTACCAATTTTAAACTTCTTTCCACAATATCTAGATCTATCAGATGATGTGTTTCCTGTATGTTCATCTGTGTGTATCCTCATATGTGTTTTCAAGCTCCCACTTTGAGTAAACTTTTTTCCACAATGCTCACATTGATGTGGTTTTTCTACTGTGTCTATTTTTAGATGCCGTTGTAAATGACCATTTTGATTAAACTTCTTTTCACAATATTCACGATTATATGGTTTTGCACCTGTGTGTATCCTCAAATGCAGTTTTAAAACAGTACCACTATTAAATATCTTTCCGCAATGTTCGCATTCAAAGGACTTTTCATTTGTGTGTATCTTCAAATGTGTTTCCAATCTACCAATATATTTAAATTGTTTTTGACAATGTCTACATTTATATGGTGTTTCTGTTAGATGTGTCCTCATGTGTCTTTTGAAATCAAAACTTTCTTTAAACTTCTGTCCACAATGTTCACATTCATAAAGTTTCTTTTCTGCATGTATTCTTGAATGTAATTTAAGAAAATCAATACGCCTAAATTTCTTTCCACACTGTTCACATATATATGGTGTCTCTCCTGTGTGTGTCCTCAAATGCACTATTAGATTGCTACTGTTTTTAAACTTCTTTCCACAGTGTTCACAGACATAAGGTGTCTCTCCTGTATGTACCCTCAAATGCCCTGTCAACTCGCCATTACACTTAAACGTCTTTCCACAATGTTGACATTTATATGGTTTTTCACCTGTGTGTATCTTCAAATGTGTTTTCAAGCTACCACTTTGAGTAAACTTCTTTCCGCAAAGTTCACATTCATATGGTTTTTCTCCTGTGTGTGTTCTCAAATGGTTTTTCAAATGACCACTTTGATAAAACTTCTTTCCACAATGTTCACAGTCATATAGGTTTTCGCCTGTGTGTGTCCTCAAATGCATTGTAAAATTACTGCTTCTTTTAAACTTCTTTCCACAATGTTCACATTCATAAGGCGTCTCTTCTGTATGTACTAACAAATGTACTTTTAAATCACTATTACACTTAAACATCTTTCCACAATTTTCACAAACAAGTGGTCTTTTTTCTGTGTGTATCCTCAAATGATTTTTCAAGCTCCCACTTTGATTAAACTTCTTTCCACAATGTTCACATTCATGCGGTTTTTCTCCAGTGTGTATCCTCAAATGTGTCTTTAAATTACCACTATTATTGAACTTCTTTTCACAATGTTCACATGTATATGGTTTTTCTCCAGTGTGTGTCATCAAATGCATTTTCAAAATAGTACTGCTATCAAACTTCTTTCCACAAAACTGACATTCATGTGGTTTATCTTCTCCTGTATGCATCCTTAAATGAATGTTCAAACTTCCACTTTCCTTAAACTTCATTTCACAATGTTCGCATTCAAATGGTCTTTCTCCTGTGTGTATCCGCAAATGTATTTTTAAGCTACCACTCTGAGTAAACTTCTTTCCACAATGTTCACATTCATATGGCTTTTCTCCTGTGTGTACCCTCAGATGTTTTTTCAAATGACCATTTTGATTAAACTTTTTCCCACAATGTTCACATTCATATGGTTTTTCTCCAGTGTGTATCCTCAAATGCATTTTAAAAACTGCACTGCTTTTGAATTTCTTACCACAATGCTCACACTCAAAAAAGGTCGTTTGTGTGTGCACACTCAAATGTGATTTAAATCTACCAATATTCTTAAACTTCCTTCCACAATGCTCACATTCATGAGTTTTCTTCTCTGTGTGTGTTCTCAAATGTGTTTTCAAACCACTACTTTGATTGAACTTTTTTCCACAATGCTCACATTCATGAGTTTTCTTCTCTGTGTGTGTTTCAAATGTGTTTTCAAACCACTACTTTGATTGAACTTTTTTCCACAATGCTCACATTCATGAGTTTTCTTCTCTGTGTGTGTTCTCAAATGTGTTTTCAAACTACTACTTTGATTAAACTTTTTTCCACAATGTTCACATTCATGTGGTTTTTCTCCAGTGTGTATTCTCAAACGCCTTTTTAAATTACCACTGATACTGAATTTCTTTTCACTATGTTCACATGGTCTTTCTTTAGTGTGTGTCATCAAATGCACTTTTAAAATAGTACTGCTTTCAAAACTCTTTCCACAATACTGGCATTCATGTGGTTTACCTTCTCCTGTGTGCATCCTTAAATGAATGTTCAAACTACTACTTTGATTAAACTTTTTTCCACAATGTTCACATTCATGTGGTTTTTCTCCAGTGTGTATCCTCAAATGTCTACTTAAATTACCACTGTTACTGAACTTCTTTTGACAATGTTCACATGTATAAGGTATCTCCCCAGTGTGTGTCATCAGATGTAGTTTTAATATTTTACCGCTATTAAATGTCTTTCCACAATGCTGACACTGGAAAGGCATCTCCTTTGTGTGTGTCTTCAAATGTGTTTCCAATCTACCAATGCCTATAAATTTTTGTTGACAATGTCTACATTCATATGTTGTTTCTGTTAAATGTGTCCTCATGTGTCTTTTGAAATTAGAACTTTCTTTAAACTTCTGTTCACAATGTTCACATTCATAAGGTTTCATTTCTGAATGTACTCTTGAATGCATTCTAAGATAACCAATACGTTTAAACTCCTTTCCACACTGTTTACATTTATAAGGTGTCTTTCCTGTGTGTGTCCTCAAATGCTCTTTCAACTCGCCATTACACTTAAATCTCTTCCCACAGTGTTCGCATTCATAGGGTCTTTCTCCTGTGTGTATCCTCAAATGTGTTTTCAAGCTACCACTTTGATTAAACTTCTTTCCACAATGTTCACATTCATGTGGTTTTTCTCCTGTGTGTATCCTTAAATGTCTTTTTAAATTACCACTATTATTGAATTTCTTTTCACAATGTTCACATGTATATAGTGTTTCTTGTGTGTGGGTCATCAGATGCAGTTTTAAAATAGTGCTGCTATTAAATCTTTTCCCGCAGTGTTGGCATTGAAACGGCAACTCTTTCGTGTGCATATTTAAACGTGTATTTAATCTATCAGAATGATTTAATTTTGTTCCAAAATGTTCAAATGTATATGGTGTGTCTGCTGCATGTGTAACATTTTTGAAATTACCAATTTCTTCAAAACCTTTTTCACAATTTTCACTTTCACATGTCGTCTTTTCTGTGTAATTTTCTAAATCATCATCATCATTGTTGTTTCCACAATCGCCATATTCATATGGTGTTGTTTCTCTAGTGTGTATCATCAAATGTGCTTCTAATTCACTTCTGCTGTCAAACTTCTTTACACAATAATCACATTCAAATTGTTTCTCTTCTGCTTTAATTCCTAAATGAGAAGTCAATGTAGCTAAATTGAATTTTATTCCACAATGTTCACATTTATATTTCATCTCTTCATTTTTCTTTTCTAAATTCAAACTTGCAGTTTGTTCATGTTGATTGTATATTTCACTCAACCCATCATTGGTAATGCATCCAGCATTTCTATTCGCTTTCAATATCATACATTTGTTAGTATCTTCATATTCTTCTTGGCCTAAACATGCTCTTTTGCAGTTTAGTTTTGATGACAACATTGGCAAATCCTTTTGCAAAAAATCATTGCCATCCAAATTTTCTTTATAGCATTGACCTACAAAGTAAATACCAAAGAGTGTTGATTATTAATATTATACAGAAGCGGTTTGGCACAGCGTGAACGGTTTGGTTTCCCAACCTCAGAGTTTCAATCCCTCGCTGTGCATTTCGCTTGTGTCCTTGAGCAAGACACTTTATCTGCATTGCTTCTCTTCACCCAGGAGTATAAATGGGAACCTGGTGGGGTTACCTGCTCCTGTGCTGATTACCAGCAGCAACACTTAGCATGTGGACCCAATGACCAGGGAAAAGAACCTTAGCGCTTCGTAACTGAAAAGAAAGGTGCTATACAAACAACAAGTAACAAGTAACAGACATACAACACCAACAAACACATATTCTCAAACAATGGTCACAAACCCAAATTTGGGTTGGCAAATCTTTTCTAAGGGTCAGAAAACTCTTCTCAACCAAAATAGGACTTGGTACACTGGAGTTAAGTCAGAACAAATTTGGTATTAAATAAATTTTGAATATTAGCAAGAGCCAGAATAAGGTACTTTTAGTGATCTTTGCTACCAATCTGATTCCGAATTATTACACCCACACATTTTCCCCCTCCCAATTCATCACCCCTGGCTCTGCCACTCATCACGATTTTTAATGCTGATGCATAAAAGTGAGCAGGACTTTGAAATTTTTGTCGCCACTGCAAAAGTTTCAGAAACAAGTACGGTATAATTATTACTATGAAGCCAGTTTCATGAGAAAATACTGATAGAAATGAATAATCCAGATGCACATTTTGAACTGATTTGCTGTTACGCCACGGATTGTGTTGTACTGTCTTGATTAAAGGGATATAGTAATCACTTTGGGAGTGACAATATTTGCAATAGACAACTACTTTTCAGTACAATATTAAACAAACTCACTTCTTTCACCCTCAATTTTGTAATCATACTGCTGTAAATTAAGTTTTTCATGTTCCAGCATACTGCAAATTCTTGATTCGTAAGCTCTGACCAGTGATACTCTGGGAAACAAAGGCAAGAAAAATATGATAAAAATATAATTAATATGAGAATTATGAAGTTAGATAGAAATCATTTCCAAGTATATCATGTAACGTGTCATGCTGTGAACAGTTTGAGCCGTGTGCACAATGTGGTGGGGGACTGGGTGATGGTTAGGATTTGGGGAGGTCTTATCGGCTTAGCTTTTAATAGCATGATGATGACTTTGGCCTGGGCCCAGCCTATTTGATACATGATAAATTTTATTGTCCAAAAAAAATCAGAAAATTGCAGAAGGCCAAAGCAAAAAATTGAGCCCAATTAATCGTCATCATAGACTTTTATGATTGAAATGAAAGTATACATACTAATTAGGGCCTAGGCCTAAAGTCCACATTTTGATGAGATTTGCTTTTGAAGGATTTTTCTTCTTTTTTTTCAATTTTTGATATCAATTTCTGTATTTTTTTAAATATATTTTAATTTTTAGTTTTAATCCATATACAATTCAGCCATGTGCTACAATCATTGCATGCATTTTACTAGAAGCTACCTCAATGTAAGTCATCATAATGCTATTTAAAGTATGTTAAAAAAAAAAAGACCCACAAAAACGTCAATCCTCACCCACCCGACACCTACCTACCCACTGCCTCCCCCACAACACGATCCACACATATCAACATGACCCCCAACGAAGGGGGCAGGAGCCCATTCATTGGACATGTCAAGTCTCCACACTGGCCGAGCTCATCGGGCTCAAATTAAAATAGGCCTACACCAAGCCAAAACATATGTCTTTCACGTAGTTGTACAGTGCCATTTCTGGCCATCCATTGGTCAATTAAAAAAAAAAAAAAAAAAACTCTCCTCTTCAGGCATACAACAAGCAGTGGCGGCTCTAGGATATAATTTAGGGGGGGGGGGGGGAAGGGGGGGTAATAAGTAGTAGGACCATAGGCCTAAAGAAAACTAGGTACAAGGCCACTAACTATAAATAATACCAACTCTGTAGTTAGGTTGCCCGTTGCACCAACCTAGCCTAAAAAATAGAGACCACAGCAGCCGGGCCTAGGCCCTAGCATTTCCAGCTTTTGTCTTATATAGTATTAGCAGTATTCATTTCATAGACTAGAATCCAAAATTCAGTAAAATAGTCTAATAATATAATGATCGAAATACATACTAGCCTAACCAAGGATATTATTTAGAAATCTTCCTGCTCCAAAACACAACTCATGTGCGTGGGTATACAATACCTATCACATGTGAGTCGAGCAAAGTGCGCCCCCTATAATGCGTTTGGTAAACCAAAGATCTAACTTAAGCGTTCTCCGAGATTTCTACGTACAAAATGTAACAACGCAGTGTAGAGCGCCCTCCCGCAATTACAATTACTTTTGAACTTTGATATCTATGATCTACGTGCAAATAGTAACAACTAAGGACGCCTTTTCTCAATTACAGTTACTTTTTACGTTTCTTTTTACTGAATATTGACGCTCTTGTTACGCGTAGAGCGCTATCTTGTGTTTATAAGATCGCGGAGCACTACTTTCGTTTATAATAGGCCTATTATTATCAATAATAGATCTTATAAACACAAGATAGCATTTTCCGCGATTTTACGCGTTACATGATAAATTATTAACCGGGAAAATTATTACCGTTGCCCCCCCCCCCCACCGACCCAAGACCCCTGTTACGCGCCTGAGAACGCTATCTTGTAAAATAAGATATTGGTAATACCAGCGCCGAATAAGTCACTCTGGGAGCACCCGGCTTTTTGATCAAATATGAAAAAATAATATTACTATTAATAGAAAAAAATGGCAAATTAAGTTACTGTTGAACTTGCTCAAGTCGAATCCAAAATGGCATTGAAAAATTGTTCGACTTGGATAAGATTCGACTTACAGATGACTCGCAAAAAGGACGCCTTCGGCGGCCCTTTGCTAGGCTGTGAGGTAATGGGTCCAGATTATTTGCAGGATGTATGAAATAAGTTTTAATGAAAGAATGAATGAAATAAATTTGAAGTATGGCTTCGAGGAAAAAAAATGTGGATATGTTTTGGAACTGATTTTTCTAAGACCGCCCATTTTAAAATTTAAAAAAATCTGTAGGCCTATCTCATTTACCGTTTTTCATACATTTTTTTTAAAAAATGAGTTCTACAACATATCACAAATTGTTTTCCTCCGGAGTCTGACTTTGAATGACTTGGGGAACCGTCTTTTGTCTTGTCACGCTCCCATCGTTTGAGCGATTTAAAAGCCAACAATAATTTTAGCCTGAACATTATTCTCATGAATGACCCTCCACACCCCTAAAGAAAAAAAAATAGCTGCTGGCTATTCAATAGTAATAATAATAATAATAGTGTAGTTTTATATAGCGCAGATATCCATCTAATATAAGATGCTCAGGGCGCTTGATATGTGGACTAGGAACTTGATCATGACTTTCTTCGCCCCTAACGGTCCCTTCGTGTCTGTGCTACCCGGTAACCCGGTACCAGCAACTCTCGTCGTCCACCACAGGGGTTGTCTGTTCCAGTACACCGGGGTATTTACACCTTTTTGCCAGCTAAAAACACTCTACAGGGCCGGATCCACAGATTTCCGAAAAGGGAGAGGGAGGTGGGGGTCGGGCGAAAGTGGGGCCGATCCAGATAACACCTCCCTTTTTTTTGTTTTCTAGACACCCAAAAATATCCTCTGAGGCGTTTTGGGTGATCAATTTTTTTCTTTTTCTTTTTTTTTTTTCACTTTTCAAAAAAAAGGGGGAGGGGATGCGGGGCCGTTGAGGGTCCAGATTATTTGCAGGTTGAATGAAGTAAGTTTTAATGAAAGAATGAATGAAATAAGTTTAAAGTCAAGCTCCGGACGAAAACAAAATTGATATGTTGTAGAACTGATATTTCTAAGACAGAAAAAAATTATTTGACTAAAATCTGGGGAATGAGATAGATTTTGGAATATTTAAAAACTGGGGGAAAGGGGCGTAACCACCCATTCATACACCTTTTCCACCAGTTTTTAAATATTCAAAAATCTGTATCTTATTTACCGTTACCCATTTTTTCAATAATAATAATTAAAATAATGTTAAAGAAGGTACCGGTAAGATACTGGCCTATGCCTACTGGTAAAGAATGGTAAAAAATAGATTATATAACACATGGTAAAATGTCGTGATGGATGTAGTTTGTAAACATTCATCACATTTTGACTTACATTTAGTGAACATACACCCGTTGTATCAGCCGCACTCACTTAAGTGGTATGTTCCACTTACCTTAACATGCTGAATACTCTACTATGAGGTACTGGGGTGGATCCAGATATTTTCAGGAGAGGGTGCAGAAAGAAGGGAACTCCTGTATAAATAACGCAAGTTTAAATGAATTGGGGAGCCGTCTTCTGTCTTGTCACCCTCCCATCTTTCGAGAGACTTAAAAGAGAACTATCAAAATGATATTTTGTTCTAGAGAGGATTTTTGATATGCCATTAATAATAGAATCAACCTTAAAATCGTTTTTTTTTTTTTGGCTTTTCTTTATGAAGTTATAGGCGATTATATACGATTTTACCATGACCTCACTGGCGAAAAAGTAACAAAAGATCGTGTAAATAGCGCCGCGTAGGGTATCCGCCGCTTACGATCTTTGCGTGTATGCTGTAACCATGGCTGTAAATTGTGATTGTTACAGCAAAATCGCACGCGGCGGATACCCTAAAAAAAAAAAAAAAAAAAAAAAAAAAATTAAATTTGGCCAATTAGCGAACC